TGCTGTGACCATTGAAGATTCAGTAGCCATTGATATTAAGCAGCGTGCCAATGACGAGAAGTTCAAGGTGGAGGGAGATCTTTTATACTTTGAAGAGCGGTTATATATCCCAAAAGGACCAGCACGACTCCGAATTCTTCAATCTCGCCACGACTTTTCAGCTGCGGGACATTTTAGATTCAACAAGACCTTGGAGCTTATTTCTCGAGATTTTTGGTCGCCCCAAATGTCGAAGGATGTGAAAGATTTTGTCTTCTCGTGCGACATCTGTTCAAGATCCAAGAATCCTCGGCATCGCCCTTATGGACTCCTACAGCCATTGCCGATTCCACGTCAACCATGGTCTTCAATTTCCATGGACTTCATCACGGACCTGGCATCATCGAACTCATTTGATAAAATCTTTGTCGTGGTAGATCGGCTTATAAAGATGGCACATTTTGTCCCTTGCAAGAAGACATCATCCAGTGAAGTCACAGCAAGGCTCTTTCTCGATAATGTGTATCGATATCATGGACTACCAGATGATATCATATCAGATCGAGGAACCCAGTTTGTATCAAAGTTTTGGAGATCTCTCTTTGAGATACTGAAGATGGATATCAAGCTTTCTTCGGCTTTTCATCCTCAAACTAATGGCCAAACGGAACGGGTGAATCAAGTCTTGGAAGAATACTTACGATGCAGCATCAACTATCAGCAAGACGATTGGACCACATATCTGTCGCTAGTCGAGTTTGCATATAACAACACCCTCCATGCGTCGACTCAATACACACCATTCTTTTTCAACTATGGGTATCATCCGAAGCTTGATTTATTGAGTCCGTCAACTAATAACAATTCAGCAGCTGAAGGATTTGCAAAACAACTATCAGAGCTTCAAAATACGTTGAAGCTTCAATTACAATCTGCTCAAGAATCCTACAAGGCGTCTACAAATAGATTTCGGAATCAAGCACCTACTTTCAAAATTGGAGATAAAGCATGGATTCTTCGACGGAATATCAAGACCAAGCGACCATGTGATAAGTTGGACTATCGAAGATTGGGACCATTTATCATCCAGAAGCAAATCAATCCAGTAGCATACCGTCTGGAATTACCGGCTTCTATGAAGGTACATCCAATCTTTCATGTTTCTCTGTTGGAGCCTTATCGAGAGCCATCTTTTCTTGGAAGAATGCAATGTCCACCACCTAGTATTGAGATTGAGAACCACGAGGAATACGAGGTGAAAAGGTGCTGGATTCACGGCAAAGGTGAGGCAAGTTGGAGTATCTTGTTCATTGGTGCGGCTACGACATTAATGAGTGAACGTGGGAGCCAGTTGAAAATCTCGCCAATGCGCCGCAAAAGGTACAGGAGTTTCATCAATAATATCTTCATAAACCTAAGCCGGTTCAATGATAGCTTCCTTCTAAAGCTTGCTCACCCAAGAATATAAGAAAGGGGGAGAGCACCACCAAAATTCGTAGTTAATGTAGTTATTTTCTCCAAGATAAAGTAGAATTTTTTCAGTAGCCATAGTTTGGTCTTTTGATATAGATAGCCAAAAGATAGATACTATGCCAGTAAGATTATCTCAACTGACTAACTCACGAAGGAGACCCCGAGATGAAGAACTGCCTACACCACGACGACGACGGAGGATACCGAGTAACCGATCACTGGTGATTGTATTTGAGTCTGAGCCTGCTTACGATGGTCAGTCAGAAGGCGTGTTTGTAGGACAATTTCACAATGAGGATACGGAAGTTCATGCTTGGTCAGAAGTTGAAGGAGTGGGCCACTACCGTTGGCTTCAAGGGCCGATGAACCACTTGCCTCATGAACAACGGTTGGAGTTCATAGCAGACGTTATGCGACAGATCTTCATTTTCTTGTGTTGGTACTGATTAACAATAACATTGCTTCTCAGAGACCTCGAAGCTAAAGGAAGAGGTGATGTTAGGAACATAGTCCTTAGAACCTTCTAGAGACAAGTTTCTAGAACCTTCTAAAAGCAAGTCTCTGGAACCTTCTAGAAGCTTCCTAGTTGGTAGAAGTTGCTTGAGAAGCTTCCTAAATAGGAGTATATATTGGAATCGAGGCTGAAGAATTCTTCAGTCTTGACAACACATCTCTTGGAGCTCTAGCTTACCTCTCTGGTGTTGTTCTTATATTCATCTGATTAATCTAGTTCTTGCCAGTTCTTCTTGAACTTCTTGTTAGTTCTCGAGTCTGTATTTCTGTGTCCGTGACAAGTCTAAACAAAAAAAATACCAAAATATATAAAAAAATTATATGTAAAAAATAAAATCTATTTTTTATGCTATAATAAGCAAAGAATGTATGTGATTTTTATTTCTTCTAAATATTTTTAAATAAAAATTCATGTATGTTTCTTCTAAACATTTTATTAAAAATTCCTATATTTTTATAACATCAAAATATTTAGAAGAAATATACAGGAAATTAGATTTAAAAATTAAAAAAAAATAAAAATAAAAAAAAAATAATTGAAAGCATCAAGTATCAGCTTTATGTCAAGGTCTTAATATAAAAAACCAAGACATCTTGACACTTTAACATCGTTTTTATACATTTGATACTCATCTTTGAAAATTTTCATGTCTCTATCTAATTTTTGTAATGATCTATGGACAATTAAAATATCTCTATTTATCTATTTTATATTTATTTTAAAATAGGCAATTTAACAATATTACTTATGCAAAAAATCGCCTCATACAAAATCTGAATGTGTATATTTTTAAAATTGATTTGCCTTTTTGGACCTTCAAGCTTCTTAGTTGTAGATGTCTTTGTTGTGCAACTTTGTTCTTTTTGTTCCTTGTTGTCTTTGAGGTGTAATAGCTTCTATAATCTCGAAAATTCTTTGCAAATGATTTTAAGGTCCATCTTCATACTCATACCCATTCAATATGTAGAATGTATTTTTTAAAAGTTGAATTTAAATTACAAATTATGGATTTTAGTGCAAAATGTGAGTAAATGACATAACTTACATTTGTGTTAACATTAATATAATATAGTGTATTACAAGAATTGATTACCAATTCTTCTATAACCATTAAATATAGCATATGAAAATCCATCTCTGAATTACAAAACAGACAATCCATTTAGATGCTATGGATGTTGTTCCAGTTCATTCTTTAATAGTTTTTAAACAAATTTATTTGTACATCCTTTCTTTGCCTATTCTAAAATGTAAACTCTTATCAATATATGCTCTATCTACATTATTTTCAAATAAAGTTTCAATAGGTATAAACTTCAAATTCCTTACATCCTTCACTTGTAAACTTCTTTGATTGCTCTTTGATTCCAATCTTAAATTCTTGTAAACAAGTGCTTTTGATGAAGGGTTTTGAAGTGTTTTATTAATGAGCACCACATGATTATATCTACTTAGGCTCTTTGATTTATTTGAACTATTTGTGAAATTGCTTCTACAATAATATGATTGTATGAATAATTTATTGAAAACTATCATTTACTTCAACTTCTCTTGGCAACTTCAAAGATAAAAGATTTTATTTCTTCAATCTCTCTAATGAAGTCCCTCACAAATTTGCAGATGAAAAATCTACACTTTCAATTTTCATTAAAAATAAAATAATTAATTAATTAAAAAAAATTACAACTAAAAATCGGTTAATATACTAACATTTAATGAGTTTAATAAAATACAAGCTCATAGCAAAGTAATGAGTGCAATTATGATGTACAACATGATAATGTGGAATCTAATGCACAATCCCAAATTATGTACTAAGAAAAATAAAAATATATTAACAAATCACAAAGTTTAGACATTTAGAAGAAGGCAAATCCTACAATGTCTTGTGTAGAGAATACTTGAATCTAGATCACACTTTCATCAACCAAACTTAAACCTTAAATGCCTAGACTCCTTCATCTTCAAATTTTCATTTTTACGGACTACTGAATTCTTTGTGGAGGGATTATTCTTATATAATTTCTGAACACCCAAATCCTTGGAACCTTCTTCAACCCCCAGATGGAATGAATTGGCATAGAGGTACCAGACCAAAGCAACCAAAACAATACTATTACATATGTCCAGTACAAAAAAAATCGTTGTCACAATTTGCACGTAATAGTAGCTAATTGTTTCCTTCTTGACATATATATCATTTGGGCAGTAGCTAGATTAAGTGTGACATACTCATTAAGAGATAGACGAGACAAAATCAATGAAAAAGAAAAGATGGCGGCGCTCCTGGTTCATTTAAAGAGGGACTAGTTGTTCAGTTTCGAACACTTAAGTTCCTCGCAACATCAACAACTTTGAATCTAGAATCTGTTCCACTACAAAACCAACATTTCAGGAAACACACTTGTATGAATTATCACTCTTACCCGAAACACAAGACTTGAACACACTGTGAATCCACTCCGCTTCGCTTCATTCACCGCAACTCAATCACTAGGACATTTAGTTTAAAACAAAGACTTGGTAACTCGAAGTAGCCTCTACCTACCCAACTGGATTGTGCGAAAGGGAAAAGAAATAGTATATCAGAAGTCGGAAGTAGGACGTCAGAAGGAAAAGAATCTGGAAAGAAAGAGATACAGGGAAGGATGAAAGAGGACGAAAGGGCACCCACATGGCAAAATGTAAAATACAAACCACATTCATGAGGAGGGTGCAATGCCTTGCTGGGGCTACATTGGTAAAGCAAAGCGACCACCCACCTGTTTTAACGAATACCAAATAAACCGAACATAATTATTTTTAATTATTTTTAATTTTAAAGATACTTAGAAATTGCACTGAAACTTGTCAATGAACTAAAATGATCGTAGTGATGCAGAGAAAACCCATCAGTGAAACATATCTTACCCATTAAGTTATCTTTAAACATGTGAATCAATCCCATCAGAATAAGCGCTTAATTCTTTTAATGCCAGAAAAGGTAAGCACAACCCAATAAATTGCACTGCCAAAAAATGACAATACTTTGACATTTAGCCAAGAAGTTGCAATGCGGATAGATGATGGCAAAATTGGTACTCCTTTCATACACTTAAAACTGCAACAAAAGTAAAGAAGCAGTATTTTGTACTTGCTTCATCCGCTGGATTCCGGATCTGCTATATCTCTGCTTCAGTCACCTGCAGTCCAGCTCACTGATGCTCTTCTTGCGTTGAACATCAGGGACGAGAACTTGCTGGAGCAGCGATGACTGCTTGTATGCATTGACACAACATTAGCATGCGAGATTCAAAGCCAGAGTCTACTTCTCTACTTACTTATCTGTTTGCCTGGACCTTCGGATCTTCTTATTGGAGGAGGGGCCGCTGTGGGAGCTTCGGTGTCTCTTGTGGTGATGAACCACTCTCTTGGGGGCGAACAGCGACCGAAGGAACATGAAGACGGTGACGCAGGGGAGGGCGAGAAGAGCAGCAGCCAGAAACCAAATAACGTCATTGTTAACGAAAGAGGACAGAAACTCATATTGCCCCAAAGTTTCGTTCAAATGACTCTGCACTTTTTCATGGTAGCTCGTGGCAGCGGTCACGGCGCGGCGGTAATGAGGACCTGCCACAGTGTTCACTTTCTCCAGATGAGGAGCTGCAAATGTCTTGACCTGGTCGACATAAGGCTTGATCATCTGTCTGGTAGTCTGCACATAAGCCAATGTGTTAACAACCTAAATGCCCGAAATCTCCGTCCCCCCCCCCCCCCCCCGGCATCACCCATGACAGAGTTAATCATGTTCTAAGCAGAATCAAGTACTCAAGAAAGCGCTTCCCAATTCAAGTCATATACCTCCACATATGGGCTTATAGTCTTCTTAACAGTAGCTACATACGGGGCGATGTACTCGCGAGACGAGACCCCTGCCTTCTTCACAGTCTCGAGATGAGGAGCAACAGCAAGAACAAGCTTCTGCCATCTCTGCTGAATCACAGGGTTCACCTTCGAGTGGAAAGTGTCGAGATGTGGCTTGACGAACTGGTGAAGATCACCAGCTTTGTTAGACACCGTTCTCTGAAGGTTCTCCGCGACAGGTGCCCCGTGGGTGGACCAGCGAGAGGATGCAACCTCCTGAAGAGCTTCGGCATGAGTGGCGGCCCATGGCGGTAACCATCCCTTGTGGAGCTCCTCAAGCTTTTTGGCCTTCTCCTCAGCCTCAGCTTTGGCCTTCAACATGGCAGCCTCTGCGATTTGGAGCCCCCTTTCTGCCTTCTGAAGACGGTCTTTTTGGTCCTCCAAAGCCTTGATAACCTTCTCCTTGTCATTCAAATGTGTGTTTGCAGACTCTTCTACAGATTTTGCATAGTCTGCGTATAGATTTGCCTCCACTCTAAGTTTCTCGGTCTCTGCTTGCAGAGACTGGAGCTGGGACTCCAACTCGCGGACCTTTGACATGGCGGAATCAATCTTCTGCTGGGCGAGGGCTTCGTTTTCGGAAGCCTCTTTGCGAGCTTGAAGAGTATTAAATTCTTGCTCCAGTGCGGTAATCTTCGATTGTTTCTCAGACAGAATCAACTCTTTGGTCTTAGATTCCTCCTCCAGAATATTAATCTTGATTTTGAGTTGTAAAACTTCGTTGTCATCCTCGTGATTGATACCTTCGTCTGCTTTAACCACTGTTGCAGTGCTAAGAACTAAGCCAAGGAGAACTATCGACAGCAGTAATTTTGTTGGAGCCATCTTGAAATACTCAAAGAGCATTAAAAATACTCTGAACTGTGCTTCACGATGCAATATCAACTTTGAAAAATAATTCGTTCCTCAGTTGCTGTCACTCACTGCACAGAAGTTTATTATTGTTAGTTTGGCTGGGCTAAGCTGACAGATGTTGGCGTATTAAAACCTCCGCAGTATATCAGTAAGAGAATTAGTTGGCCGTAGAATATATGAACCACGAAGTGACAGGCAACAGATAAATAGTTATGAAGGTTTAGAGCCGACCATCCAAATCAAGAATGGAAAATAATCAGTTCAACAATAGACATCCATCAGGAAAAATTCCAGAACTGTCCAGACAAGGACCAAACCGGAAACATTGCATCTACTCAATCAAACTCACAATCTACTTTATAACAAAAAAAAGGTGAACAACATGGAAGACAACAATTTTCGTGCAGTGCGAAACTATATCGAGTTCACACATCAACAAGCTCCTGTACTCGTTCCCCTGTCTCACACTCTCTTGAATAAACGACCAGACCCATCAACAGACTGTCATTTTTCCCTCTTCTAACGAAAACATTGCATGACCTAAACATTCAAAGAGACATACAAAACTTAAATGTTTTCAGATACACGTGACACAAGGAAGGAAGAAGAGAGTAAATGCCACAAACAAACATTGAGACAGACCTAGATCGAGACTCCTGCCCTACAGATAAATCTCAAAACCACTGTACATAATAAACCCAAACGCTACTTCCCACCAATACAAACCCAACACAGCCAAGACAACTGCGTGATCCCGACAATGAAAGGAAAAACAAGATAGCCAGGGTGCTTACAGAGACAAGAGAGGCGGCGCATGGTGGCGCTAAACCTCGAGAAATCCTACCACTGGAGGCAGTGATAACAACCAGAAAGAGTCGAGATGGAGGGGGGAGAAAACGCCGTGGACCTGTCACAAGCAATCAATCGGGTGTCCTGCAGCAGCAGCAGCTCCAGAAACAGGGATTGACTAATGGATCGATGGAATGATGGCAACTCCAGAGCGATGTACAAAACCCAGGCAAAGGCCAGAAGACGGCTAAGGCGAGGGGGGAAGAGGTGGGGTGGGGTGGGGCGGGGTGGGGCCAGAAGATCGATGGAAGTCCAAGTGTCCACAAGCAGGCCTCGTTCGTCAAAACTCACATCGATGATTTGTCCACCATCATCCCTGATGACGACGATGATGCAGCAAGTATGGCGGCGATTTCCAGTGCCATGCCCCAGTTTCGAATTCGGCATTTCCCTTTTTCTTCCCCCTCGTTGTGGTGCATTACAGATCAGCCTTGTGCCCCCCCTATGGGCGCTTCAGGGACCTGTGACCACGGTTTTGGTTATGGGTACCCATTCTGAATAAATCTTTGAGATTTTAAAAGTCTGTGTTGTGGGTTGAATGGGTATATTAAGAAACGTTTCTGAAGCTTTAGGAACTTGCAAAACGTAATACTGGTCAATTAAATGAATTTTATCATGAATTTGTATTGCAGATTGTCTTGTGTGATGTACACCTTTACATTTCTAATGCATTGTTTTGCTTGCAAATGTTTTTATTGCACTACATGTGTGTGATTGTGTGTGTTTGTTTGTATATTTTAAAATGTTAACATGTATATGTGTATTATATATATATATATATATATATATATATATAATACATTTCCTACTTTCAAAAATGCATTTAATCAAAAATGACTTAACAACATTACATTTGATGTCTTTAAATCTTTGAATCTTTCTACATTAAGAAGTTTTGAATTCTTGCTTATTATGATACTTTAGTTTTATACAGTATGGAAAAAAAAATACTAAATTTAATGTGATATAAGTTTGAATATTAAAAACTATAAAATGATATAATTACCAATTTATTATTTATTGATATTATTATTATTTTGTGAAGGATATTATGATATTCCTTCTACTCACCCTTCACTAAAAACTCACAAATTATAATTTAAGCTATTGATTTGTGCACAAAATATGACAGCTTCATTTTAAACAAACATATATATATATATATATATATATATACACACACACACAACATTTATATATATATATATATATATATATATAAACATACATATATACTGACACAGTATTTTAACAACTGACACAATATACATTAGTTGCCCAAAACGATTTTAAAAAACAAATATCTTACACAAGCTGAAAAGAAATTCACCATTTTGTCAAAATTCCAAATTTGAAAACATTTAATTGAATCATTTAACATAAAATCTCAATAACTGGTCGATATTAAAAGATAAAATTATAATTATTATAAAATTTAATATTAAACAGAATTTTTTTCAAACATAAATCATGAAAGAAATTGCAAACATAAATCTTAAATTCGATTGTAAAATGCTGACGGTGATATAGAGGGTGGGGATTGAGGGCTGTGACGAGCGCGAACTCGACACGAAACCAAAATTATTCGGATTCCGCTTCATCCATCCTCACTGTGTGTGTATCCTCGTCGCGGAATTGCGAGCCTCGATTTGTCGATGTCTGTGCAGCAGTTTGTGATCCTCACCCTCCTTGTGCTACTGTTTCCACTGTTGTATTGCCGTCACGTAGCAGTCTCAGCAGCTTCAACGTGGAATCCCAAAGCTGGTGCGAGACGGATTCAATCCCACGTCGTTGACTCGTCAATTGTGCGATTAGAATTGCAAAATCTTTTAGGTTATTCCCCCATCATCCAATGTGCGCATTCGATTGTTGTTTCTTGCCGCATTTGGTCGCTTGTTCCTGTGTGTTGGATAAATTGTGTGTTGCGTTGTTAAGGAATGTGAGAGGGTTGAATCTTTGCGTGCAACGGTGAGGGTGACGTGAGTCCGAGAGGGTGGTTGTGAGGTTCTTGATGGTTTTTGTGAGTATATAGGTTTGAAAGGGATCGACGGTGCGTTGAGTTTGTTCAGATTGAAGGTTTGTGCCAAGCAGGCGGGTTTTGATAAATCGAGGTTGCTGGGAGAAGCATGGAAGGGACTCAGCAGCATAGAAGGTTGGCCACCATAGCTCGCCATCTTACGGATTCCTCCTCATTGCATGCTCTGGTGAGTCTCTTTGTTCCCAGTGTGGTGATTAGTAGATAGCTCTGTTGATAATGCACGGTAGTGTGTCTTCCGCTGCACCAGCACAGTCCGATGGAATGTTTTGGACAATGTTGCTGCAGCGACTTCGTTTTAGTTCTCGAACCGTGGAGTTTCCTGTGATGTGATATTACGACGAAAAATCATGAGGTCTCTGAGTTCTACCAACTTGGATTACACGCACAACTTCATTCTTGGGTAGTCAATCAAGTTGACTACAGTGTTTTGTGACGTAGAATCAGCAATAGATATTGAAATTGAAGTGCTTTTCATCGTTTGCTGGTCATAGACGGATGCTTCTTCTAATGATGTGATTTGGTTTGTTATTTTGGGCTTCCAGGCTTATGAACATAATATTAAACCTGGAGATAAAACACCTGTGGTAATTGGAGGGATGGTGCTTGACATTCAATCATCACCTAAAGGAAAGCAGTTGCTGCGCGGAAGCACCTCACCAGGCGAAGTAATTCTTTCGTTTTCATTACTCTATTTGTACAATTTGCCCCTGGTCGTCTTTTCAGCGACGTCTTTAATATTCAGGTCAAACAGAAACTTGTAGTACGTGAAAGGTTTATTCTGTTGAAAATATTGTCTTACCTTTTGAGGGTACAGGTGAGATATGAAAATGGAGGAGTTGCGAGGAATATTGCCGAAAACATGGCTCTTCTCGGGTCACTTCCGTTTCTTATAAGCGTAGTTGGCGACGACGTTGCAGGTATGAGTGTAAACTTTGTGAAGCATTTCGTATGGCAAGAAAGGTTACGCTGCGAATGTTTGTCCATTTCTAAGTTTTGTTACCAGCTTTTGAGGGTTTACTTTGGCTCTCTTTGATTTCCTCCACATTTGTGGTACGTCTTTGAAGATGTTCATGCTCATGTAGTTCATGCAAAGTAATTGGAAGCTCCGTTCCCTGCAGGGGAATCTATGCTGAAACACTGGAAGTCGTTGGGGCTTTCTACAGCAGGTAAGTAATTTTTTTGAAAGTAATGTCTGCTTTTTTTGTAGGTTAACATTGAGACAGCATGGCGATGCAATAAGATTTACCGTACAATGGGTATAAGTGCATAATGTTCCATTTTATGGTACTCCTGAGATTATGGTCTCTGGTTTGCTCCCCGTGCCATAATACTTTTTCACAGGAAGAGACAACCGAGTTATATTCTCGTAGTAAGGACTCTTGTGCATATTTAATCATAATACGCGAAGAGCGCTGCAGGGATCCGCACGTGTAAAGGTGCCAGAACTCCAGTAGTATCTGCTGTCTTTGACAACCAAGGCGAGTTAGCTGCAGCTGTTGCGGACACCAATCTGATTGTATGTACTTGTCATGGTCGTTGTCAGTTACAATTTTTGATGATTTAGTCGAGAGATAGGTATGAAGAGATGATAATTTTTGTTTACAATGATATTCAACCAAGGGGGGCATTGTACTGGGTGATTGATGTAGTGGTAACTATTTACGTCTAAATCATGCGTTAGGATCCAATAATGGCAGCTGATTTCCGAGCGCTTACAGCTGATTCTTTAAAATCAACGTCATCTTCAACATCCTCTGAATTCCAATTTATGAGGTTGGAGTAGTAACAAGCTTGATATGTTTGTTCATGACAACAGGAAGAGAAGTTAACAGTTGAGTGGATCATGAAGTTTAAGGATGACATTCAACGAGCAACAATTATCATTCTTGATGCTAATTTGCCACCCCCTGCATTGGAAGCTACTTGCAAATGTAAGTCTCTGAGCTTATTCTTGACGGTCTTGGAGAAACTTATCACTAGTCCTTGGTCTGTTACAAAGGCATTGCAAGCAGCTAAACAATACCTGTTATTTGAGACGGCATTGACTCTCGTCATCTCTCTTACATCATGCTTGGTACCACTGTTTGGACTGATGTAAGCAGTGGCCAAGGAAACGAATGTACCAATTTGGTTTGAGCCTGTCTCGGTAGCAAAGAGTGTTAGAGCAAGCAGATTCCTTAATCTGGTAAGTTGTGTCTCTTAACTGATGATGCTCCTCTAACATTAATCTCAGTGCGTGGTCTCAGTAAAATCAGTCTCCATAGATCTACTTTATAAAAGTAAATATCTAAAATATCACGAAATCTTTGAGTTTTGTAGTATTTGACTTACGGTTGCGTGCGCGCACACCTCACCCTTTCCGTATGTGAGGCAAGTGACATGCCTTCAAATTCATAAGCTATAATTATTCACAAGTTCCTAGCAACCATGCTGGTGAAGGTTGAGATATTGCCTCAAAGCTGCAAAGACCTTGAATTACACAGAACGGTGTTCCTCCGTGCTTCTCACCTTCATTAATATGAATGTGCAAGGCAAATCGGTATTTTTGGGCTACTCTAGAATGACACCCCAAAAGTGATTACGGCATGGATCAAGTCAAATGATCCTTATATTCATGCTTTTTCCTTCGTTGGGTGGTTTGTGGTTATTTTCATTGACAGTGCATTGAACCACAGGTCAGCAGAACTGCTGTCTTTCGTTCTTGACTCCAATCAATTTAGAAGAGTAACTCAAATAATATCCGTGACATTCTTTTCACTTGTCACAGACATTTTTGCTAATGATGTCAGAATTTAAGATTTTGAGTTGTCAAAGAGTGCTTGTTAGACCACCTCACGAAGGAAGAGTTTTTGTACTTTTGTGTGTTACAGATAACTTATACGTCGCCGAATGAGGCGGAGCTAATTGCCATGGCTGAATCTGTGTGCCAAGTCAATAATATTGAAAAGAAATTATTTGATGATGAAGTTCCTGCGGACAAAAATTTGCCAGAGCCGGCTGCTTCACTTTGGCGGACGCGGCACTACATTCAATCGTTACTGGACACCGGCTTAGGATATATCATTTTGACTTTGGGAGAATATGGAGCAGTGTTATGCTCGTTGCGATCCACCAGCTCTGAAAACCTTGGGTAAGAGTTTTTAGCCTCTAAACGTGGAATTAACCGTTACTTGCCCTATGTTGTTAGACAACGACTTTCTGGTTGGGGTTCATTTAAAGCTCATAAGTGTGGTACCAAAATTCTTTGAGGTACATGCGAAGTGGAGGTCTAGTTTCTCTGTGAGGACTGCGAAATAGTAGTTCAAAAATATTTCGAGTTCATCTTTACCCAAGTTATTGCTTTGCGGTTTCATGTGTTTGGACATCATGAAAAACTATTTGTGTTGCTTTGGAGCAGAACTGTGAAGGAAACCCCTCTGTCTGGTATTTCTAAAAATGAATCAGGAATTAATTTCCTTCACTTTCCTGCGCTGCGTGCTTCTATTTCCAACTTGAGCGGAGCCGGTGACTGTTTAGCAGCAGGAACAGTTTCGGCTCTGTCTTCGGGTGCGGACATTTCAAGTGCTTTGGCTAATGGTGTTTCTGCATCCAAGTGGGCAGTTGAATCGGCCTCCAATGTACCGCCAAATTTGGACCCTGCTTCAGTAGCAGGCAAGTCGTCTTTACCTCTCTTGTGCTTAGCTTTGCTGCCTAGGTTTCACCTACGATATCACAAACAGGCTGTAATCTTGATCTATTGCTTGTCAATACTTGTTTCACGACTCTAGCGTCTTTTTATCCATACTTGTTGCACTTTGTAATAGCACTAGCTTGTTTTTCCTTTTCTCGTTCGTAGAAGACTTTCACCATGTGCAAATAATGCAATTCACAAGGAATTCTAACCCATTGAAGTTGGACTGAATAATCTGATTCCTTGAATGGTTTAAATCAATGGTTGAGGCAAGTCAATCTGGGCAAGTCTTACTTGCCAGTACTAGAATTTCGCCTTGTTAATTGATCAATACTTGGACAGCCACACTCCCTCTTTCTTATTTATTTATTCAATCATTTCCCCTCTAGTGCTGAATTCGTTGATTGGAGACGAAATTGCAGATTGCGCAAAGATGGTAAAGTCAAGGGCTCAAAAACTTGTGGTGTAATGTTTCTGCTTCATCAAATGTAAGAGAATTATGGCGATTGAGATATGTTTAGTTACAAACGGCTGTGTAATGTCTTTCTTCTCTGAACAGAAGATCTTTACTATTTTCGTCTTCACAACAATTATTGTGCCTCTGTAGGAGATTGAGGAACTTTGTTAGCCTGTACTCCGTGTATGCTCTTATTTGTACTATAAAATCAGTCTACTGTATGAGTGCAACTAATGAATTGCAGAATTTGAGGGTGCGATGCATCTTTTTGCAATGTTCTTATGACTACATTGGAAACTGGTATAAGGTCAGCTTTGGTATGACATTATCGAACAATTATGTTAATTTCAGAATGTCATATTGACAACTTGAGAAAACTGGTACTGAGCTTCCAAACATTGCAAACTATTTCAAAACATTTGTTGGGGGAAAAAGTGCCCCAAATTTTCAGCCAGTGAATCCAAGCTACTTTTCCTAAACCTTGGTAATAAGATGCTCATCATCCCTCACAAAAGTCTACAATGCATTTATTCTTGGATGTACTTCCATAAACCATGTAGTTTCAGAGAATGAACTTGGGTTTGTCACATCAATCATAGTGAAATATTCTATTACTTTGAAATTGTTGATTTGGAGTTTTAAAATTTAAGAAATAATTCATTTTTTCATGCTTTACATGGAAGATATAATTGCAGATTAATTTTGATGTATAAGAATATTTACTTCTTTATTGCTGAATCATAAGAAAATTTTACACTCAGCAATTAAATATTAAAGTGAATATATCTAAATTTTTTTTATTAATATTTCAAGAAGGGGTGAGATAAACAAAACCAGAGTCGTGGAGTTGTATTCCTCCTAATTAGGTGTTTTAAAATCACAAAACTTGATTTATTAACTCAAATCTATATTTTTTTCAACTTTTCTAGAAATATGAGTATTTTTTAGAGGTGTTTGTAATTTTTTCTTTTCTTTTGGACTATCTAACTTTGTCATATATTAACAAATTTTTCTAAAGTATAAGTTTTAGAAAAAATATCATATATATTCTTTAAATATTTTAAAATATCAAGAATATCCATGTATTCTTAATAATAGCAAATCTATCCCTTACTTTTGTGATAATAGCAAATCTTTCCTTGAATATGATAAGATATCACCATTTTTTCTTTTTTAGATGCAATTGGGATCCAAACCACATGCCATACAAATTTTAGTGTTATACTATAACACAACTACTAGATGAAAGATTAGTAGAAAGATTATATTATTGAAGAGCTTAAATACTAATATTGTCGCAAATTATCTTAAAGGCATAGATAATAGACAAGGAGATAGTAAAAATCATTAGGTGTTAATTTTTTTTTTTTATAAAAATAAATTTTATTTACTTTGAAGGGCTATAAATGAGACAAATCAAAGTAGATAAGAAAAGCAATTGATATAAGTATCTTTAAAGAATTAAGAGTAGTTTTCAGCAAAACTAAACTTAAGAAACCAAGAATTGATACCCAAAGAAGACCAACTATAAAACTAGGATCAAAATTAGACCATGAGGCACAAAGCTATGCATCTATGGCAATTCTAGGATTCTTTGGTTGATTGGAGAATGGAATGTGAGAGAAAAATTCAAGAAGGTTGTTTTAGAAAAGGTTTCAACTGCTTTAGATGCATCTTAAGTTTCAAAGAGCTTTTCAAAGTGAAAGATATATTCAAAGATTTGAAATTTTAAAAAATAAAAAGAGGTTTATATATATAAAGAATATTTTAATATTTTAGCAAATTAATGAGTAAAATTTTGTGAGTTTGTTATTAAACTTGTCTTGAAAAAGTTTTTAATATTTGAAGTTAATCAAACAATTAGATTGAAAGGCATGAAATTTTTATTAGATTAGGGTCTTAAAAATTTGAATTTTAAGGCTATTGAGGTCTTCTATGATTATGAGAGATCCACTAGTTCAATCACAACAAAAGTTTGTGAGACCATATGAGGCTTTAGTAGTTATACATTTGTAGAATTGGAAAAAAATTGAACAATTCAAGAAAGAGAAATAATTGCTAAAAGATCCACATCTATGTTAGAAAAGGAAGAGGGTCAACATTTGAAAGTTTTAGAAGTTCTTTCTTTCAATTGGTCATTTTGATTTTTCTCAAAATTTGTATATTTTTTATTTATTTATGAATTGAAATATAGATGAAAGTATAATTGAAATCAATGGTTTAATTAATAGTTATTAAAATTTTATTAAGATTTTGTTAGGATTTGATTAGGATTAATTTAAGGTTTATTAAGATTTAGTTAGGATTTTTTAAGGATTTATTTGGATTTTTTAGGATTTTTTTAGGGCCACATTAGGATTTCATTAGGATTGCTTATGATTTACTTAGATTTTTTATTTCTCGTATTTTTGAAGAATTTCTTTATTATTTTTTTAAAGTTTAATTTATGATTTTTTTTTTTTTTTTGTAATTTTGTAATTTTTTTTAGTTTTGTTTAAAATTAGATTATGATTGTTAAGATTTAATTGGAGTCTATTTAAGATCCTATTAAAATTGTTACAAACTATTGTTGTAATTTCCTATTTATCTTCTACAACTAGATGCTTGATACATTCTCAAGCAAGAATTCATGTAATACAACATTGACACAATACTTTTTGACACGTTTTGCATCCCTCCTTTTTGTTGTTGTCTCTAAGTTTGGGTTTTTTCTTAAACCCAAAATCCATTTGCAAAATGAGAAGAATCAATAGAATGGAGTACACCATTCCTAGTTTATTTATTTTGTGAGTAATTAGTGCAAGAAAGATGATGATTTTCAACAAGTCTTCTATAATAATAAAAGAAACTCCTAAAATCCATTGTATATTGTATTAAAAGGCTAGAACCAAGCTTAAGGTTTTCATACATATCCAAAAGTTTCTCTCTTTATGCTTTATAATTCATAAGGTTGTATAGTACTTATAGTGTTTGTTCTTGTTATGAAGTATGTTGTCAGAATGAGTTGAAAGAGATATATACGGATTTGCTAAGGATGTTTGAAGATATTTGATATTAATTTGGTGTCACGGCCATAATCATGTAAGCTAATAATTACATATAGAAATAGGTAGAAGTAAGTAAAAGTAGATAAAAGTAAGTTAATTCTATAATATTTAATATAGAAGCTTCCTAGAAACTTCCTAGACGCTGCTTTGACTTCATAGGTGTCTTTAATTGACTTTTTGGATTAGAAACGTGGTCAACAAGTTGGCCATGTGCCACACATGTTGTTAGCTTGAAGATCAAGCTAACTATGTGGCCCACACGTAGAAAAACTTGCCTTGTAAGTCAAGGCATGTGTCCTACAAAGTCAACACATATTGGAGGTCCTATAGAACGTCGCCACGTAGCCCCTAGTTAGATAGTATATATAGAGACAAGAGTGAAGGCTTCTTCACTCTTGTCAACTCCTTTCTTGCTTCTAGTCCAGGTTCAAGAGTCTTTAGTTTCTTGTCTTGTGGCAATAGCCATTCCAGTTTCCTTTTAATATACTTACTTGTTTATATTTTGACTTATTATATCGAGATAGCCTTTTGGTGTATATTTTTCCTCATCGAGTCTTTGTCCTTGACAGATTGACAAGAGTACACTTACAATATCAGAGCTTTGTTTTTTTCTTGAGTAAGAGTGGATTACCCCTTTCTCTTGACAAGACATAAGCGTATTAGAAGTTTGCGGATTACCCACTTCTAAACTGATATTGTTCTTAGTATCTTCTTTGTTATCAAGTCTTTCTTTTCTTTTGTCTTGAGCAATATCAAACAAATTTTTCTTCTTAGTGTCATTATGGCAGAGCTTGTTGAAATGAAGAGTGCAATGGCACAAATGCAAGAGCAAATGAGGGAGTTAATGCTTGCGATGCATCAACTCAATTCACCAACACAGGAAAGAACAAGAATAGCAGAAAGTGGAGATATAGAGATGATCGGAGCTGCTTCAACATCTACAACAAATCACGTTCCTTCTCCAATTGTACAACACCCTATAAGCACTAGAGAACCAAGAATTGCCTTACCTGAGAAATTTGATGGTACGAGATCAAAGTTTCGAGGGTTCATCAATCAAGTACAATTGGCAATTGAACTTCAACCGCAAAGCTATCCAACTCCAGGATCACAAGTCAGGTTTATTGACACTCTATTTTCTGGTTCTGCATTATCGTGGTTTTCGTCTTTTCTTGAACAACGAAATCCAATATTGGACAATTTGGAAGCTTTTTTGGCGGAGTTTCGATCTATGTATGGTGAACACGATGCAACTCGTGTTGCAACAAATAAGATCCGAATTCTACGACAAGGAAATCGCTCAGTAACAGTATATGCTTCACAATTTCGACAACTTGCAATTGACATCAAGTGGGATGATGCTGCACTCATCAGTCAATTTCTTTATGGATTGCAATACGAAGTAAAGAAATTGATGCTCAACTTACCTGATCCTCAAACTTTGAGTCAAACAATCGATTTTGCGGTAAAATGTGATAATCGACTTTTTGAATTTCGATCTGAGAATCATTCACGGGAACCTCAACGTTATTACTCAATGGCAACATCAACATCTTTGCCAAACGTACATTTGGAAGTAGAAGACATGCAAATTGACGCGGTACGTTTTAAACCCCTAATTGAGCAAGAAAAGATTCGTCGTCGTCAAGAAGGATTATGTTTATATTGCGGAGAACCTAAGCACACTGCTCAACATTGTCCAAAGAAACGACGCAACTATAAAATGAGGGATACGACGGTCAAAGAAGACAACATGTCAAAAAACGGATTCGTCCAGCTACAATAGGGACCGTGCAGCTGGAACCTTGTACAATTCCTAATGAAGGTCCTATCCTCTCCTCAGAACCCTCTCCTTGTTTTATAATAGACTTATATTTAGGACCTAAGAATTACAAAGCCTCTGCTTTATTAGATTCGGGAGCCTCAGCATGTTTTTTAGATGAACAATTTGTTAAAAGTCGTAAAATACCCTTTGTACAGAAACCTAAACCAGTACATGTAGAAGTCATAGATGGTCGTCTCTTGTCTTCTGGAGATGTCACTCATGAAACTCATCCTATAAAAGTAACAATAGACGGTCATGATAGCTACATAGCTTTTAACATAATTAAATCCCCGTCTAATCTAGTTATTTTAGGTTTATCCTGGCTAGAAAAATATAACCCTCGAATAGATTGGAATTCGTGTAAACTTGAATTTTCTGAAAGCGTTATTAATAGTTCTACGAACCAAGTAAAA